TAACGAGTGACGAGTGAGGGGTAACGAGTGACGAGTGAGAGGTAACGAGTGACGATTGAGGGGTAACGAGTGACGATTGAGGGGTAACGAGTAACGAGTGAATCAAGATGAACGAGTGACGAGCGAGTAGGGGAGAAAAAGGAGAGAGACAATAGTAATCCATTTAGCGAGCTTTGCAAAGTTTTTCCATCAGCTTGAACTTACCTGATATACGCTCGCCCGAACTGAACACCATGTTGCCCTTGGCATGCTTCACCTTCTTGAGGGCGGTCAGCTTAACGCCCGGATTGAGTGTCGTATAGCGAGTCGCATCCGTAACAGGCTTGATGGGCGAGTAGACGAGATCGGTGGCGCGCTGCGATTGTGGATCCGGCGGCAAATGTAGCTCCAGCTGATGCGATGGTGCAGCGAGCGCGCAGGCGCTCAGCAAAAATAACGAGAGAATAATCACTTGCTGCATTTGAAGACAATGCAAAAAATCAGCAAACAAAGACGAACTCAACACAATGGTATATGAAAAGCATGCAGCATAGAAAGGCGAGAGAGAAAGATTAAAAAAAAAAGTGAGTTTGGCTTGTTTTTGCTTTTGTTTTTAATATTTTTTTTAAATTGAGGTTTGTGGTTTGTTGGCTCCGCGCTCTTTGCAATCTAATTGGCGACTGTTTTGAGCACTGGGTTTTTATACCACACGCCCTTATCGGCGGTCAGCATTAGATAAGGCAGCAACTCGACGACTGAACGATAAGCCGTATAGCTCCATATTATTGGCTTTATTTCTCCCATATTTTTTGGTGTGTGTATTCTTTTCCAGTTTTTTGTTGTTGTTAGCAACTAATTGGCAATTATTTGCTCAGTTTCTATAAATAGGCTAGCACTTGAGCGCCAGTAATTTTAGACATGCCCTAACACCAAATGGATTTAGCCAATCAAAATGTTTAGCCCCAAATCGATGCGCGGCGCGTGGCCACAATTTCCTCAATATATTGACTAATGTGTGTTCAGAAGTTCACCTGATCGCTGGAGCATGTGATAACCATGGAGCGTCAGGGACTCGTATGTATATTAGAATCTTACTACAATATTTACCAAATCACTTGAGACTGGCTTTAACTTCCGTCTCCGTGTTGGGCACTGCAAACCAACCATTCGATCAGGTAGCTGACGACGTAGTCTCTTATCGAAAATCAACAGCAAATATTATGTACAGCTAACTATATAGTGCATGACATATTTATCGAATTGCGACAGCAAAAATAATTTCCAATTGTCATGCAGAGAGTCCAACGCTACCTACGATAAGTCTACAGACATGCGTGCAAGCATTATATAGTCAGCCGATGACAAAGATGATCGTAAATGAATCAGCAGTTCTTAAGAAATTTGACAATCCAATTGTTAAGTAAAATTGTAAAGTAAATCAGGAAATACAATCATTTCATCTATATAAGAAGTTTAAGCTAGTCAGCCGATGACAAAGATGATCGCAAATGAAACAGCAGTTCTTAAGAAATTTGACAATTCACAAAATATTGCTGCAATTGTTAACTGAAGTAAGTGAGCAGAGTTGTAAAACAAATCAGAAAATATAATGAATTCATCTATATAAGAATCCTAAATTAGTTCAAATTTATTTAACAATATTTTGAAAACATTTCTAAGGCACATTTTCTCTGTTTCTGTCTTCTATAACGTTCTATAGCTTAAGTTGTTATTTAAACTTAATGACTATATTAGAGTATCTATTTTTTGATCAAGCTCCCTGTGAACGTAGCCTTAAACGTATCTTATCACTCAATCAGGCAAGTTGAAGCTGAAAACAAAAAACTTGAAGCTCGTAAAAACAATTTACTAACTGATCTGTTTGAAGATCAGCAAAACTCAAGAGCCACAGTCCATTAACAATGTCCGGCTGAGAAGGCAACAAATCAATGTACTATCTATCTATTGCCATATTCAAATGCAAAATTAAATATGCTTAAATATATAATTATATATACACCGTGCATATAAATGCCAATTTTGTCGAAATCTTTGCAGCTCAACTGATAAAAGGTCTAAGAATACAAACCCGCTAAGTCCATGAAATACCCTCAGTAAATATTTTGGCGACAGCCCGTTGGTAACAACAACAAAAATAATAAAGAAAACGAAATACAAATATTTAACAATTTAATGCCAAATAATACTCAATTATCTATTGATACCCGAAATTTTCTAAAGTGGTCTACATAGATGGGTAAAAAGTATATGTATATAATATTAAAATATAAATTCTATTTATAGTTCCGTAATCATAATCATAAATTACAAATGTCTGGGCATATAGTTTCGCTTAGATTGTTTCCCAGTGCTGAGAATTTTAATTATCGCTCTAGATGATTAAAAACAAAAAGAGTAAATAAATAGAAATCAATACATGAACAGTAAGGCTGGCCCGTATTCGTATTTCTTCGTTTTTATTTTGCAATCGTAACCTTGATACACATAGTATTTGCGCACAAAAGCAAACAATCTTATAAACACGGACACTTCGAGAATTGAGAGTTGGCCTAGCGATATTAGTTATGGAGCTACCCTATACGCATAAAACGAGCTATAAATGATATCAAGCGAGCTAGTCAAGTGTGCTCAAATTTTGTTTGTGCTTTCCATTTATGGCTGCGAAAATACCCCTATCAAAATTTAAGACCTTGTTTACAGATCAAATGCTACAGCTGCTGGGTATCTTGTGGTAGTGCATGCTCAGGGCACTAGTTATCAGCGCGAAAAAAAAGTAAACAGTTAAGCATGAGAACGATATATGTATGAATGTGTACGAGAATAGGAGCTGATAAATTGATCCAAAATAACGGAAATTATTTTTGGATATAACTGTGTGCCCCTTGGTGTATAGGAATTAAGAAATACCGCAAATTTCTTGATAAAATTAACCGAAACTCTAACACGTAATACTGCAGACGTCAAATTTGACGACGCGAACCGTCGATGCACGATCGATAACGATAACATTTCTCTGCATTTGCGCACAAGGCAGAGAAAGTTTCGGTTATCTCTGAGGGAATTATATGTTCCAAGCCTCTGAATGAAGAATGTATCGTTTATCACTAAGGGAACTCAATTTTAATTAAATGACAACAGAATTGCCATCAATATACAGTCCTCATATATTGCTGAGGTATTTTTATGACTCAGTCATAAGTTTTTTCCTTGATCTTGGCACTACAAACATCAGAACTATTGCAAGTCGCGTGAGCTACGATTCGATGGAAAAAGAAAAGAAACAAATAAAACGTCCATTTATGTTCGTGTAGATAATGTCGAAGCCATTTGCTCGAACCGTACGCCCGCCCTGGGCTCAACACTAATTTATGATCTTGCATACCTTTGTGAAGTGGGAAGCGCGTGAGCGACTTCGATTTATTTGCCTGCCGACAGATATTTACGAAGGTTCCCAAAAGTGAAAAGAAAGCCCCCCTCTTGAATGCGCATACGATTTATGGTTAGTAACTGATTAATAGGTTATAATATAATTATTCCTTAAAAAGCAAGAACAAAAAAAATTAAATAAAATAGTAAAATGTAAGAAGTAAACTTAAAGTAGAGCTCAAGTACTCAGGAGTTCACTTAATCGGAACCATAGTACTGCGCCTGGTAAGCGAAGTCATCGGTCTGCTTGGCCTCCAGCACAATCGATATGAAGCGCTGGCCAATGCCGCCGGCGACCACATAGGCATTGCCCTCGTTGTTATCCTGGGTGCAGATCAGCTCCACAAAGGTGACTATCGAGCCGGTGCCCGACTCCGGGTACGTGATCTGCAGGCTGACGTCCTTGCGTGCCTGGTAGTGGAATACGTCGGCGCCCTGAGCGACCAGTCTATCGCCTGAAAGTCGACATCGATGGATTAGATTCGCTGCATACTTTCTGGAGCTGGCGCTTAATCGCAACTGCTCCAACTATCGCACTTACCATTGATCCGAGCGCCGAGCGTGTACCGAACCGATAGGTTGCGTGCGCTGGCCCTGGCCGCTGGCTGCTTCACCAGACGCTGCAGCTTGAGGCCCGGATGCTGGGCGACAAAATCGCGCACATTCTTGACCACAATTATATCGCGATGCACATCGGCGTCACGTGCCACGCCCGCCAAACTATCGGCCACCAGGCAGCCGAAGATGGCCAGCAACAGGAACAGGCTCAATTTGCACATTTTGTGTTGGGCTTTGAAAAGGGTTTTGCGAGAGTACGGCTGATTAGTTCCAACTGCTGCGAACGGTAATCGCTGAATGAGCTCTCCCATGGCAAACTGTTTATTATATATAGTAGCGCCAATTAAGTGGAAGCCTTTGATTTCAGTTTCGTTGAATTTCACGCCACACGCCCCCAGTACCTAGCGTTTGCTGCTGCTGCTGCCGCGGCCCTTATCACACCAATTGACAATTACCATTGACAATGTTTTGGCCAACAACAACAACAACAACAATCAGAACGTCTAAATCGTTGATAGCCCCACGTTCTGTGAATGCCCTTCTAGCACTACAATCTAGACTATTCCAGAGCTGATATCAAATATTTTGCTTCTATTTCAATTTTTTAAACAGATTCTAAATTTAGCTGTAAATAAATTCCATGCTGAAACGGTATATAGTATTTCAATGTGCAGCAATTTTGACTGATATAAATGATGATATGATGAATAATATGTTATATGGGAGTTTGACTTGTATATGTATATACAGAAATCTCTTTCAGATTGCCTGAGAGGTAAATATTTCAGGATCACAGCCAATATACGCGTATATATTATTTCTTTAGCCCGGTAGTGCATATACATATACGCATGTTAAAGAAAAAAAAGTAAACAAATAAAATTTTAATTTTAAAATTGGTTTAAAATTATTTTTTAAATATTGCGTAAACTTTTGTTTTTTATTTTAGTTTTATAAGATTTTATAGTACAAGTTTAAGCTAAATTAGTAAAGCATTTATGAACCAATTTTAATTTATTTTATATATTTTATTCAAGATTTTTCATATCTATATAATATAATATTAAAGATATCTGAAGATATTATATTCTAATATTATTATTTTATATTTTATAGGGAATTCATGGATCTACAGATGTTCCTGAACCAAACCTATAGTTAAAATATTGAAGAGCAGAGTTATTAACTTTTTTAATACGAGTGATCCGTTCTAGTAATGAGTAAGCAGTGTAATATAAAACCGGTATATAATATATATACATTACATTGACCCCTTGAAAATGTTCTTTACCAACTGCATGAGCATTTGGTAAAACTCTTCCGGACATGTGTTTACCATAACAATGGCTGGTTAGATAATACGTGTTCCCGACCCATCCCAGTCACTTCAAGTCAATTAAATTGAACAATTCGACGATATTACGTTCCGCTCTCGGCCGATAGCAACGTGGGGCAACGTGTAGCATGTAGCAAGCGAAAGAGAAACCAACAATAATAATATGAACGCCAGCTCTTCCCCATAAACAACATAAACAGCACCTGACAATTTGACAGACACTGGTACAGTAGCTTTCTAATTAGCGATAGGATGATGGCTCATATCACAGGCGCCCAACTCTACCAATAGCATTCCAGTACCAGCCTCATATCTAATTAGAGACGGCTCTATATTTCAGCGCGATTCGCAGAACCCTATCGAGGCGACAGCGCAACCCTTGAGGACTTCCCTGGAATTAAAAACCACCTAGTGGAATCAAATCGTCTGCCACAAATTCACAAATAAGATTAGGCAACGGCCATAGATAACAGCTATTGTTATTGATCAATCCATCAATTCGTCAAATTCTGACTCATCGACTCTTTGTTAAATTTAGAACTAGGTAAACAAATTTTGATTGCGCTTACGATAGTTTCCAATGCTCTACCTTCTAGTAATTTTAGAAAGAAAAAAAAAACACACGCAATAGTGCTCTAGAAGACAACTCTAGAAAAGTATGAGTCAGAGTTACGGAAATTGAAAACGGAGATTAAGGAGACAGAATGAGAGATAGAAGATCTAAGAGAGAGATAAAAAAAGTGATTGAGGGGGAATAGATAAAAGAAAAAAGACACAATAAAAAGAATGGAGAGAAGAGAGCGAAAGGACTGGTAGAGTGGAATGAAAAAGTTAGAACAGATATAGAGAAGTAGAGTGGGGGGCAGATAGGGAACCACACAGAGAGTCAAATATCAGCAGTCAACAGAATTAGAATGCAGAATGCAATTTAGAAAACGTTTTATTTTATTATATTAGTTTTTTTTTCTTTTTTGTATTACTATACATTATTCAGACTTATAACTCTAGTTACATTTGAATGTAAATATTAATTTGTATATATACCCTATATATAATATGTATTGTATATACGCATCTATATGAATGTATATTCAAAATTACATATTAAACACACAGCGACTGCGAGAAAAATGCGCGTGCTACAAATTGGGTGTTCCGTAGTTCCAATCTAGAAACGTCGTATGTAACATACATTCGAACAAAAATAAACATAATCAAATTTAAAATTTCATTTTTAAATAATACAAAAAAAAAAAAAATTGGCAAAGTCGCATAAAGTTAGGTTCTATAATAAAATTTGTGGAATGTGGCAGCAATAGAGATAGTTAATTAACCAAGGTATATAATAAATACATATGTATATAGAGATGTACATAGTTACATGGAGTTATAATAGGCATACATATTCACTATAAGATTACAAATAAGTTTGCTGATATTCATAAAAATGTCCTGGCAAGGCTGTAATGCGAATATATACATATATTTCACATATATATATATATGTATATATATTGCACATGATTCGTTTGCTTGCTTTTCGGCAACGGCTCTGCTCGCACACATGCTAAAAACATTATGCATTCAAAAATGCTGACGCTATCTCGCTCTAGCGCCGCTCTCACTCACTCGCATGCGTTGTGCTCAACAACAATGAACACGCACACACAAACACACACCGACACGCACACGCACGCATGCATTTGCTTACTTTGGACAATCGACTAATTAATTACCTTAACTAATCGAACTCAACACAAATTTATAAAACATACTTAATACGAATTAATTTCTTAGTATCCGAATGAGAAGCTATAGCAAATACACATTGGTTAAAATTTGTTCTACTAAAATATATCAATGGAGCTCTTAAGGTTCCTACTCCATTGCACAATATCGTTTTCAATCACAAGGAGATAATGTTCGACTCTGCCGATTGTCCATACATATCCATTGATGCCTCGTGCATGTGCGTGTGTGTGCGTGTGCGTGTGTGTGCGTGTTAAAACCAACAACAATTCCATTTTGTTTCATTTTCACTAAATTCCTTGTGTCTAAAAACGGCGCCGAAACCCCCTTTTCGCTTACCCCCCATTTCCCCCATCATTTAGATCCCTGCCTGCCCACTCGTTGCTCGTACCCCGTTGAAACCCTTGTTAGATATTGCTTTGACGCCTGGCTGCCTTAATCTCGTCCGATCACTCCTACCAGTGCGGACGTATCTCCTTGAAGAGCCACTTCTGGTAGCCATCGTTCACATCGCACTGCCCCAGCGAGAGCTGCTGTGTCGTCGGATGCAGAGCCATGCACTTTTTGTGGACACGATGGAGCAGATGCTTGGTCTGTTCGTTGTAGCTCCAGGGTCCGTCGACGGTGCCCAAGCGGCAGACGGCCAGCTTAATGCCCTGGCGATCGGCCTCCACGCAACGTTCGCCCACGCCCAGCTGTCCAGCGGCATTCAGGCGCACCAGCTGATTATTGCCACCGCCATGGCAATAGGAGAGGCCCATGATGGCCGGCGGCTGGTGGCCCATGGAGTCCAGGCAGCCATCGGAGGCCACCGAGCGCAGCTCGCCCCAATGCAAGTTGGCGGGCAGCGCCGGAAATTTGTCCACCACATCGTAGGCAATGTTGTCCATGAACCACTGGAAGGACTTGCAGTTGAGGCGCTTCTTCAGCGCCAGCTGCTCGGAAATGTCGCCCATGTCCAGGTAACGCGCCAGCGGCTCGCGCGTGTAGAAGAACTCCTTGTGTGTGTCATCGAACCAGGTCTCAATGACGCGCTTGTAGTTGATGGTAATCAATGGGCCCTTCTTCTTGCTCGCCAGCTTGCCAAAGTTGTAGGGCATAAAGCCGCGATAGACGTGGCCGACACGGGAGCAGGGCACCCACTCGATGCTGCCGCCACATTGCCAGATCTTGAAGCTCAGCTCAAAGTTCTCGCCGCCCCAGACAAGCAGGCCCGGATCGTAGGCGCCCAGCTCCAGGAAATACTCGCGATTAATCGCAAAGAGGCCGCCCGCATGCGTCGGACTGCGATACGGCTCAGAGTTGTGGGCACGACGACGCTGCTCGCGGCGTGGCACCTCGTTCTCCTTGTACAGCATGCCCCACTCGAAGATGCCGCGGAAATGATTGTCGCTGCCATAGACCGGACGGTACTCGAAAGTCTTGTGATCGATGCCATCAATGATGGGCACGGTCATCACGGTGCGATCACGATAAATGGGCGCCAGCAGCGGTGGCAGCCAATTGAGATTCACCTCACAATGCGCATCCAGAAAGACAATCACCTCACCTGCAAACGAAATTCAAGTGTGAGCGAGAGGGAAATATAAAAGCGTGATTGGTTTTCTCTACTCTCTTAGCTCATATTTCATGAGAATTGCATGGAGGGGCTTTACTTGAATGCCAAATTAACTTCATTCATATTTGTTCTAAGGAAACATTATTCTTTAAAACTCATCTGGAACATAGTTCAATTGTGAGCGAGAGGTAGATATACAAAAGCGATTATAACCAATGGAATGCTCAGCCACTAATCGTTTTCGTTACTCTCTTTCATTCTTTCATTCACATTCATGAGAATTGCATAGAGCGGCTATACTTAACAGGTAACTACTAAATGTCAAATTACCTTCATTCATGTTCGTTTTAAGTTGAAATTATTCTCTCAGTATTACCCAAGCTCACCTACAACAAAGTGTGAGCAAGCGGGAAACAAAAACTAATTATAACTAATGGAATGCTCAGCCATTATTCATTTTTTTCTACTCTTTTAAATCATATTAAAGTTCATGAGAATTGCGTAGAGAGGCTATACGTAAAAACAAACTATCCTCTCTCTTTCTCTCTCTCTCTCTCTATACGTAAAAACAAACTATCCTCTCTCTTTCTCTCTCTCTATTAGTTAGCCACAGGCCAGTCCACACTATAAATCGTATTTTAAAGCCAATAATTTAGAATTTACTAATTAAACAGGTTTTGAAATTAGCACGGCTTAGCGAAATTCGCCTATCTACTAGGCTTATTGCTTGCTCAATACATACTAAATAAAATACGACCCCTCCAGCTAAATGATAGTACTCCTGCCACTCACCTGTAGCTTCCATGGCGCCACGAGAGCGTGTGCGTATGAGGCCCTCGCGTTCCGCATTGCGTATGATCTTGACCAGGCCCTTGAACTGCAGGATATACTCGTCCAGTTTGCCGCGCAGATTCTCCTTGTCCGAAAAATCGTCCACCAGAATGATCTCGTGCAGCATGTGCTTGGGCGAGCGATCGATCACCGAGTGGACGGTGCGCATCAGGACGGAGAAGCCTTCGTTGTGGAACACAATGATGACACTGGTGGGCGGCAGATCGTAGGGATAGTCCCAGTGCTTGCACTCCTCAAGGCGTGTATCACGCACCGAACGATGCATCGATATCTCATCCGAGCAGGCGATATTCATGCCATATTCCATTTCGGAGGCATCGGCCACGTTCTTCTTGTCGGGCGACAGAATGTGCCCTTCTCCGTTCTCGCCGGGACCGGTGCGTGGCTTCAGATCTCTGGGCTCGAAATTGCCCAGGCCTGCAAAAGCAAACAGTTGACAATTAGCAGTTGGCCAATAAAAATGATCAACACTTGAGCACACAATGCAACGCAGATGTAAACAAAGTGCAGACAACTAACATAATAATAACAATCAAATGCAGGCGTATTAGAATCACACGACGCTGCTCAGACCAGTTGTATTTGAATAAATGGCTAGAGCAAACAGCTGGGCTGCCATCAGATGATATCATCGCAGGCCATTTGTGCCTTTTCCTTTGTCTACTTACCCTCCACTAGCGTGGGCACCTCCCGAGGCCGATTCTCGAGCCGCTGATGACTGAACTTGGGTCCGCCGAAGCGCGTGTGATACGCCTCTTGGACGCGCTTGTGGTGATCGCTCCAGTTGGCCAGCAGATAGAGCAGCGGCAAGATGACCAGCAGGCACAATGCCATGCGGCAGATGCGGCCGCTGCGTATATTACTCACGCGCATCTTGCCCCAATTGTGATTCGCAATACAATTTCGATGGCTTCACTTTAATTTGAAATGCCAATGTTAATTCCAATGCCAATGCCAACGCCGAAGCCAATTTGAGTTTTTTGTTGACGTGTTGACGTGTCGACGTATCTCTGTATTGGCGTTGGCGTCAACGTCAACGTCGTCGTCGCAGTAGTAGCAGCGGCTACGCGACAGCAATGTAAACCAAAATCGTATAAAAAAAAGCCGAACAGCAATTAGCCCAGCAGCAGCTAGCGGCCGCTTAAGAATTTTTGATTTCAGATGCGATGTCAATGTACGAGTCTGCGTGTATGCTTCTATCTATATGTGTGAGCCTGAAAGCAACTGAATGTTATTGTGTTTGTGTGCGTGTCTGTGAGCAGGTGAGCACTCGCTGCGAAAGCGTTGATCAAAAGGCAATCAGCGTTAATTATAAATGAACTCAGTCACTGAACACTTTTAAATGCCAGTTGAAAGAAATTACTGTTCGATGCGAATCGTTTTTTATTACTGCTGCTGCTGCTTACAATATGCAACGCGACCGCAATAAATGCAAATGCAACGCAGTAATAACTTCAGTGTAAACGTAAACAAAAAAAAATTGTTGCAGTATGCGGAACTGCCACGCGTTTGACGTTTTCTAGCACATCAGGTGGCACCTAGAGCACTTCAGCGCCAACTGGCGGCGGCCATACACAATAAATGCCGGCTGTTATCGTTAATCGACACACAAAATATACTAACAACAACAAAAAACACAACACAATGAATTCGTTACGAAACTACGTTTGCTTGGTCATTTCTGCGCTAACGTTGCTCATGTTTGCGCTTTGCCCCGAACAACGACGCAACGTTACGTTTACATACGTTATGTGATTCTATGTTATAAATTGACTATTTAAAAAATACGCGCCAACTATTATTTTAATATTGCTTTGCCAAAGACGCTGCAATATTCGAGCAGTTATATATATTTACATCATTCAATACATAACAACAATTTTAAAAGATACAATTATACATACGTACAAATGTACAGATAGATCATACTAATTACAATGACTATTTCCTATGAATACACATATTCCTATAATGAGAGTTCAAAAATTAAAATTGGCGAATCGCCGATGAAACGTGATGGCAGCCAGTTTAATGATTCATCTTATTTGAATTAGAGATGGTCAAAACACTACCAACTCGACGGCGATCATAGAACGGTTCTGGCTCATGCAGCGCCCCGATTGCCGTAACAGCGGCAAAGCCACCATCGCCAGGATGATCAGCCATCGCGTGTCCAGCCTCTCGCAGATATTCTATGACCTCAGCGTTCACGTCGGCCTCATAATCTATCCGCATGGGTATCAGCTGATGATGTAGTCGACCGTTATTCACAGCCTGAGCCATTGACTCGCGCCGTATGAGATATTTCATGATAACCTAAAAAATGCCAAATTAATTATCGATATCCATAAAAAAAATCACATTTAAATATCAATACGTACCGTGGCCACGCTAGTTGTGATTTTGGTGCCGCCAGCAGCTCCGACTAGCATGCGCACATCGCCATTTTCATCGACAATAATGGAAGGATTCATGGAGGACATGGGACGTTTGTGTGGATAAATGTAGTTTGCGGGCGAGGAGGGCACACCAAAGCTGTTGATAACGCCTGGGGTTGAGAAGTCATCCATCTCATCGTTCAATATGATGCCCGTTTGTGGTGATGCCACCTTGGCGCCAAAGCTGCCAGATAGCGAATAAAAATAGGAATCGTTAATTTTTCCAAATCAATTTCATATGCCCAACAATTGTGTTTAATACTCACTAGGTATTTATGGTACTAGTTATGGATATGGCGTCGCCATTGCTGGCCAGCACATTCATGTGAGCGGTGCCGTGATCAGGCTCCACGGTGAAATTGGCGCCATAGTACATATAATCCTGCGAGGTTTTGTCATCCTTTATCAAGGAGCGCACGGTATCCACCAGCTCGGAGCCAAGCAACTTCTCCAGCTGCGCCTTTATGCTGTCGCCATACTCCGGATCATTCTCGTAGTCACCCAAATTCGTGCGCTGCCCGTACGCATGCTTGAAGCTCTCAATGACGCGCTGCCAGTAAACGGGCTCATTATCCGAATACAGCTCGCTCATCACGTTCAATATAAAGGCCAGAACCGGGCCGCTCGATGGCAATGGTGTTGTATATAATGTAAAACCGCCCGTAACATTTGCCGATATGATCCCATCGCTCTGCCAACGGCACCTGTGAACGAATAAAACAAAATAAGTCAATTAAACTTAGGCTCCACTAAGTACTGAACTAACTAAACTGTCATCCATTTTTAGGTAGATGTGACTATAAATCTGGCTAACGCTCATCGATCTATAAAAAACCCAAAGCCTAAGACGACTCTACAATCACGTTTACCATTGCATGGACTAAGACATTTTAGCAATAAACGATGTGAAACACGTTAAATAAATTATGTAAACCCAAGTAAGGCCTAGCCCATGTTGTAACGTGTAACTTAAGAACTATCTGGTTTCTCTATCGCCAAAACTAAACTTGAAATTCTTTGCTTTTAGGGTACTGGTGAGCTGTGATACTTGCTTATAATTTTTAAGATCCTCTAATGTAATGATGCCGCCTAATTTTCTAATGTCCTCAACGAACTTGACGCCCGTCTCGCCGCCATCGTATAGTTCGCCGGCGCCATTGTTGGCAATGCGCTCCAGTGTATTGGCCAAAGCGGGACGCTTCATATAATCGTGCTCCACATACGGCTCGCCCTTCTCGTTGAGGAACATTTGTGCCAGTGCCGGATCTTTTTTGATTTCTGTGATCTTGGAGCTGATAGCCGCGGCCAGATAGCGCGACACCACATGACCCTCGCGCGCCATCTTAATGGACGGCTGGAATAGATCCTTCCAGGGCAAACGGCCATACTTCTGATGCATCTCCCAGTAGCCAAGTATTTCACCGGGAACACCGCCCGCCAGTGCGCCCGTTACCTCCTTCTGGCCGACAAACATCTCCTTGTGGGCTGCAGCTGGGGCCGATTCGCGGGCAATGACCGTTTCCACTTTACGCGTACGCCGCGTATAAATGGTGGCCACAAACCCACCGCCGATGCCCATTGAGTGCGGCAACATGATTCCCTCGCAGAGCAGCGTCGCAATTGCCGCATCCACCGCGGAGCCGCCCTCCTGCAACATGTTGCCACCGACCTCGGCGCAGCCGATGCCATTGGAGACAACGGCTCCCGTAATATACCGCGTATCTCTCGATCTCAGTCCGAAGACAAGGCCAAGCGTCAAACCAGTGACCATTAGAGCGACGATCGATAGCCATACAAGGCTCTTCTTATTCAACAGTAGCCTGAAAATGATATATAGAATATGAATGGATCAATCTATATAAATATTAATAGCTATTCTTATATATGTGCGTGTCTATATAAATAATCGTGGGCAATTAATCGGGCGCCCAATTGAAGTGGATTTCCAAGTGGATTAGCCGGGATTTCATTGATTGCCCAAGTCCTAAGCGACGGTTCTGATTAGACTAACCAGGTTAGATTCTTATCGTTTTTCTTTTTATATTTCTTTATAAATACTTATAAATATGTGTGTTAATACAAATTTGTTTTACACTCGCTTTATATAGTGACGCAGCAGAAACAATCGGCCCAATTATTATTATTATTATTTATTTATTTTTTTTTTGTATTTTTGATAGATAGATATATATGTATATATTCTAAGTCCTAAACACAGAGCATACTTGATTGTGCTATGGGAACATCTATTCAAAAAAAAAAAAATACAGCTCAATGTAAAGCTGAGGAAACATCTTTGGATATTGCCGCAGATCACGTGACAGGTCTACAAGATCATATTGGAACCATTATGGATCTATGTGACTCCAATGTGGGACACTACCAGCTATTCCAACTATCATACAGAGATTTCATCCCCATACAAACAAAAAAGTTCACGAAAAGCATCATCAGGATATTTCTAGTCCATATGCATCGCATAGAGAGAGACAAAAGCCTCCTTGCCATTTTCTATTTATTATCCATCCATTTCACTGAATCCGGAAATGCAAGTTTTTTTTTTTAAATCAGAAATTCCCGGTATCAATGTTTATGTCTACAACCATAATCATTAGCTAATTGTCGCCTAAATTGTCCAATCAAAATCAAGTGTGGTCATTTAATCAGACTCTAAGATATCTAAATTCTTCGATTTGGTATGTGGACTATTTATATTATGAGCGTATTCCTGATCGAATAATTTAGATATCTCAAGTCATGATAAATTGACCACACCTGATTTTGATTGAACAATTTAGGCAATATATTCGTATATATATCAACTCAGTGGTAATCAGATTTGTTAAAAAATTACTAAAGGAGTACGTATATCTTTATCTTTGCTGGACAAATCGAAAATTGAAGACGACCTTGATTCTCGATTGCAATTATGCACTTGATACTAAATGCACTTAAGAGCATAGCTAGATTGTCTTATATATTTCAAAAGAATTTCGATATGCCTCTCAAGTACCATGACATTTCATTTTCTTCAGCTCTCTGTCTAGTAATTTAACTGGTCATTCTTTGAGCGATCCACGTGCATCGCGTAGCACATTCATTCGGTATGCCTCGCTTATCAGCTTACATACATATATTGTATGAGTGTATTTCTGGCGACATATATGGCCTATCGTAAAGATACGTATTTCGGCTGTGAGGCTCAACAATGCCATTAACTAGCAATTTTCCATAATTAACGGCGATTTTTTATACCCTATAATTATTTTAATGATTATGTTTCTGATAGCGCTCAAGGGTTCATTGTATGCCATTATATATGGATCGAAATTGATGCTTATTTAATATAACGAATATCGATGTTGAATTTAGCTACGATCATATTCTATTCTTGTTGTCAAAATCTATAAATATGAAATCCTAGCTCAGATATAAAAGTATATATTATATGTGTTTATATATTCATATGGATAATTATGTAGTAAAAAGATGTGCACTATATTGTAGCTATATAAGTACAGAAATATCCTGACATTTATCCGTTCAATTGAATTAGAACTTTTTCACAGGGTATCTGCCAGTCGATGCCATTCGTGACTCTTCAATTTGGATTCTTTGTTTACCAATTTCTGGTGACGTAGTCTAAGGCGTAGATGTAGAGCACGCGACTAAATCCCAAGTGCTCGATGATAAATCATAAGTCTATTAGTTTCGAGCGTTTCAAGTGCCTCGATGTACGTGGTTAAAATTCGAACTCCAACACAAGATTTCTGCCCCGTCATTGGCAAAGGCTTTGATGAAATCTCTTTGCCGATTAGGATCGAGGGTTATTTTTTATGCATATCATCGGGTAGGTATTACCCAGTTATATTAAGCCATATCAATGATATTTGACAGGTTTTACGATCATTCGGTAGTTCAACGGTAGCCGCCTTTATTGGTGGCCGGCGCTGCTATTTGATCAAAATTTATCAATCGATAAATGTCGAAATATACATGCATATATGTATTATATGACTTTCCTGTAGACTTATCTTTGTGCTCTCAAAGAGCAGATATTTATAGCTAATTCGTATTAGGGCTACTTATATGAGTTAAGAAATGCAACCTATTTTCGTAGTACCAACACAGAGATTAAACAAACCATATTTCAAAATGTGAATTAAATATATGCATATGAATTTATTTTTATATCCATTAATATAAATAATCCGCTAACTCGTTATTCTAGTATTTAGGAAAACATACTTTAAATTTCAACTGTTTTTATTTTATGGCCAAAGTAAATATTTAGCACGCAATTAGCTGATGTTTGTTTTATGCTACGAAGACTGGGACTGGGATTGGGAGAGGTAGACGTCACGCATCTATGTAGAGCGCTACAAATGGGTCTTGGATACATAGCGCAAATCGTCATCATTTATATCAAGGTCTAGATTAAGATAGACGATAGAATAATTTATTTGAATAATATATTCTGAATCATAGAGCTTTTTATAATAACTAGCGGAAAGACCCGTAATACAAATGGGGGGGAGCCCAACAACTAGTTACACTAGGTACTTTTTCTGTTGTTTGTGTTGAGGTTATTATAGGTGTCTATGAGGTAATAATATTATAAGAGGTACCATACGTAGCCTACGTCACGTAAGCTAAGGACACTCATAAGCTACTAAATAAATGTATGCACATGCCCAACTCTAGAGTGTAGAGTACTCAGAGATTATGTAGGTCATTTAAAAATATCTAAACTCGTATATATAAATATACAAATTATCTTTGTGTTTAGAGAAGAGATTTTCACAGTTATATATTATTTATAATGATACCGTACTATTAGATGATCTCTTCTAATTTCTGACCTATAGTTTATATATATTTATAGCAAACCCAGCTTGGCTTTGTGCTCTACGTTGCAGCATTCCCTCTCTATGTCTCTGTGTGTCTCTCTTACTCTCTCTCTCCCTCTCTCAGTCTGTCTGCGTATAATTGGAAGTTTCAACCAAAGTATGAATTATTATTATTCGTAATTTGTGATTTCAGCTGTAATTGTTTTTTTTTTTTTTTTTATTATTATTTTTCTCTCTAATTTATTCAAGCGTTTTGTTTTTAACAACGAAATTGCTTTGCCACCAGCTACGTGTATCAATGTCAGGGGTAAACAATGTCAGCAGAAAGCTCAAAAATGCATTTACAAAAAAAAAGAAACCTGAAATAACTAAGATTGGAGCACGTAATGAAATAGCATTGGCAATAAACATCCCGAATACTCAGATCTACGAGATTATGTTCAAAAGAAGTAAGCAAATAAGAAATTGATAATAATCGATAAGCACATTTGCATAATCACTTAAAAGATCTGCAGCCTAAGCAACTATATAATGTCAAAGACTATTAAAACTAGTCGAGGAAATTCGAGTTGAATAGAAACCAGAGATTATCTAAACGACAGGAAGCGATAAAATAATAAAGTATCGATATTTGGATAGAGATAAGAAACTGTAATTAGTTTCACCTATCAAAGTCATTTATTTTAACTAAATAAAGGGCATCCGGCAGTCTGAACCCTTGCTAAATGTACCATAAATAAATTAGTCAATTACTTATTTCCCGAAGTGAGAGTGAGTTAGAGTAAGTACAAATTTTCGATATATGTAAAGCCCATAAGCACTGTCGAATGTATGCGAGCCATTTATGGGCGTTTTAGCGGTAATTACTTTGTTACTGTTAGCCATTATAAAACGATAAAAGACTATTTTACACTTAATTGTAGCTATGCCGTTATCTTCATCTTATCGGAGGCAGCACCTAACGTATATCCATAAATGTCTTTATTTAGCATTCGGTTAAGCAGCGCAATAATCCCATTTTGCAAATATTTCTAGCACATTGTAAATTGCGAGGGCTGCACTTTGACCACCTGTGAAATGCATATACATACATATATACACGTATATATATATGTCATATATTATATATAGAGATGGTATCCCATAACATGGCCCATAAAACTGTCTAATTGCAATTACAGCACGGAGATAAGTGAAAAACTCTTAAGCAGACTTGACATACTCCTCAGATAATACCTTTCTTGTATTACACTCTTCTAGCTATACTATTTACCTATTATATTTGTCTATCTCTATCTCTCTCTCTGCCTCCATCTCGCTCTCAGAAGCTGTCTGCTCAAAAGGAATTCTGGAATCTTGCTCACATTTCAAACAAATTTTAGTTACATATTACTTCTAATTAGCAGACAATGCTGTATTTGAAGTTATTAGACTATGCGCTACCCTGTACATGTAGAAGTTGCCTCCTAGAAAGCAATATGCTTAGATACATATGTGAACTCTAAGCTATATATACACATATGTATAGTTTAGCTCACATATTTATTGAAATGAACTCTTATATAAGCTACAGAGAAAGCTCATATTTTATTAATATTGAATAATTATGGAATGGATTGTCTGAAATCTCTTAGTTAAAAAAAACAAACAAAAATTTGAAGAAACTTTCACAGTAAATCTCCATCATATATGTATGCATATATGCATGTATGTATATGAAATCTATGTTTATCATCTGTCATTCTCACGATTACAGGGTATTAGCCAGCAAGATAACTGTGATTGACTATGATACAAGCACATATGTATGATACGTGTATCGTGCAAATACCATATATGATTTTTCAAGTTCTGTTTGCGTTTCAATCATCTTTTGTTGTTGTTGGTTCTGATACACTTATGATGATACACTTGATGTAGTTTTTATAGTGTGTGGATGTTAAAGTGTGAGACAGGCAATAGAGTTGACAAGACAAACAGAAAGGTAAAAGCAATTAAAACATATATCTCTGGCAAAGGAAAGAACTTTAAAGTGGAAACTGTCTCGTTATAGGTCGAAAATCGATAACGATTGTACTTTTGAGAATTTTCCAGCTATGGCAAGTACAAAAATAATAAAAAACCTGCGCTAAACTATATAATATATGTATATAATATTATGTAAATTTATAATTTTTTTATTTTCTCATTAACATTAAAGTCGAATCGACTAATCGACTGGAAACGGTTTGATTCATCTACACATACAGATGTACGTCCATATGTATGTGGACATGTACATATACATATAGGTATAAATAGTAACTGTAGTGACGCAGCTGCACAGTCTTTTGGATTGGATAGTAAAGTTCTCTGAATTATATTGATAGAGCTAATGATGTAAATGAAATTAATGGAATCATATAACACTTACCTCATTTTGTAGAATTATTTTGGCGCCTCACAAATTGCTAAAACACTGGGAAGTAGAAGCAATACATAAAACAAAACAAAAAAAAACAGCAACAAAACGAAAAATATAAACCAAAATTAATAATAAATAATTTATGCAATTCACAGACAAATTATGCAAATATAAAATAGTAAATAAAAAAATCAGCACTAACAATGTCGCGTTTGAGGAGCCGCTTTTTAAATGCGCGAACTGCAAATATTCACAGTTGCCGTTAGAGGGAGCGAGCTAACTGAGCACTTGCCGCGCTTAGCCTCGACTGATGTGCTTGGACGAAGTGAGGCGCCGCATTACAACTTTGTTTCGATTCCATTCGATTCGATATGTGTTTTATTTTGGTTTTATGTGCGCAACACATGCATGCACTTCTATATTTTTTAAGTAACTAACTGTTCTTTATCGAAAGAGCCAACACAGTTTACACACAGCCAAACACCCGCACATACACACACACACACACACACACAATCATTCAAAGAGCTGCTCTTCGCAAAAATATTTGCAGAGAGTCGCTCTTACGCTCACTAGTTTAAAGCAGTCGTGCGAGATTGCGGAAAAAATGAAAATGAAACTACCAAAAGCAATAACAGTAATATACACACACAAGGGCACACATACACGAGCGCGCACTCAGGCCTGTATGCATGTATGGGTGCATGCGTGTATGATCTGTACAATTTTGCAGCTATCTGAGCTTAGCGCAAAGCTAAGCCCGCCTGCCGACTCAGTATAGTTCTGCACTGGACACACGCATGTGCAAGCCTTCTCTCTGTCTCTCGCCTGTATGTGTGCGCATGTACTGTTGGCATGTGTGCGTGAGGAAGAGAGCAAAGCTAAAACTTAACCCGGGCTCAATAAACAGCTGTTGCATTGTTGTTTTTGATCGAAAACAGCTGGAGCTGCTGGCATAATACGCATAGAAACGGTTTCACACTAAAATTTGTCTTTAATTTGTAGCAGATGCAAAATATTGATTCCTATATGCAAGGCGAACTGTTCACATGAACGCCAACTATTCTTGGGGTACTCCAATTGCAAAGCGAATGTGTGATCGTGTTTCTCTTGTTGTCAATTGTGTTATCAATGTGTTCGTTTCTTCTCATTTTGTGTTATTGTGTTTGGTCTTGTTCTGTCAGTTTTTATTGTTGTTATCGTTTTTTTTTTATGTTGATGCTGTGTTTCGGTTATTTTTTTGGCTGAATTCCCTATTCAAGCTGTTTCAACGCCAACGTCCCATTGGGCCAGCCACCTTGACAGTGTACTTGGTGGAGCGCCGCTTAGCCTTCATCTGCTGCTCCTGTTCGATCATCTTCAATGCAGCAGGGCCAAGGGCCACGTACGGCATATTGGGATCGGGTACGGTGTGCAACGGCAAGCACTGCTTGCTCAGCCGCTGAAAGTTCGGCAACGGAGCGTTCTTCTTCTCGTGAGCGAGGTCCGTGTAGCCCAGCTTGCGGCGCTGCTGGGGCGTTATCTTATTGCAATGGCAGAGCTGATGGATTCGCAATGCCCGCTCCAGATCGAAGATGCGATCACAGAACTTGCACTGTTTGCCGGGTGGAATGGCCGTCAGTGCTGTGGTGCTCTCTCTCAGCTGACGTCCCCGGAATCGCACCTTAAAGTCATCATCGTGGGTGCGACGATGAGCCCCAAGTAGCGACTTAATGTGAAAGATGGCGCCGCACGAGCTACAGCTATATGTGGGCCTATGCCTGATGCTCATCTGGCTGCGTCGATTGGATTCGTTGCCCAACTGACGTTCGTATTCTTCCTGTAGGACACCGCGCATCGAGCGCGCCAATTTGATCTCATCATTCTCCTCCTCTTCATCGAGATCGTTGCGAGGGGATAGGCCATTGCGACGCGGTGTCTGTATAAAAGCTAAAAGTAAATCAAACCAGAATTTATTATTATTCTCATTTATTGGAATGCGTTAAGTCTACTAAGGATTACTCACTTTGTACGGCTCCTGTTTTTTGGCGTGAGATGGTAGACGTGTCGTCCTTTAATTTGGATTGTGAAGACCTTTTGTTGCCTTGCTTGCCGCGCCTGCGCAGCCCGCCGCTGCTCCCGTCGCTGGACCGTCGGCCACGCATTCGGATTGCTCGCATATTGACTGTCGAGTCGGACAAATAGGTGAGTTTGCGTTCGACCGTCTTCTCAGCGTACTCCATGTCGGATTCCAGTGGGTCGTAGGTCTGCACTTTCATGGTACGATAATATGGCGCCATTTTATTTTGCTTCATTTTGGTTGTTGGTATATGTAAATGTCTATTGTATTTATATTGGTACTATTGGTATAATCTTGTACTGAACTTTGTGGCCGGCAAAGTTCATGAAATAATAAAAATTTCTAAAAAATTATTTGTAATAATGTTACTTCCCCAAGTGTAAAATATAAACTGAGCCTACACACAATGAAACCAAATGCAGCGCATGTTGAAATCGCCTTAGATTTTTATTTGAAATTTCGTAGTGTTTAAAAATGCCGTATCAGTTGTACACACAATATATCTGATAGATGGCGCCACATCTAGTATTTTCTTATTGGGTATACTAATTTAGCGAATACAATTTTAATTGTGTCTGATTGAATTTAAAATTTTGTAATAATTATTATTTCTTTTTTTAGGTTAATATATAAAACATTTTCAATCCAATTTTATTTAAACTAACATTAATTTCGATATGTTATCTGTTCACGTAGCGTTGCTCTCTTTGCGCTTACGTTGCTCATTTGTGCGCTAACGCGCTACTTACGTGCCTGTTACTCACGGCTGGCCGCGTGCAATTTTTTTTGGCAGCTAACAATAAAGTAATTGCAGCCCGCGCGAAGTTACCAAAAATCTTGCGATTACATACATTTTGCCACGAAACTGTGCAAACTGTTCGCAATTAAAGAAAATTTTGTGTGGTGCTTTATACTGTTGTTATTCGTTGGTGTTGTGGCATTTAGAATATGAGTGATACGCGTGAACAGATTTTGGAACAAATTAAAGTACAAGGCGATCTCGTGCGTCAACTGAAAGCGACGAAGGAGTCCAAAGAGAAGGTCAGTACGACATACATAATGAATGCCATAATGTCTATGCAAATTATTTCCCCATGTTTGTATGCATAGTATGTATGTAAGTGTGCATGCAGGCTAAACCATTCCCATAGTGCACATGTACACACACACATTGTTTTGCCATCCATGCTTTTGTGTGTAATTTTGTACATGACTACGTGTGTGCGTGTGTGTATTTAGGCCGCTCGTCATGCGTTTTTAACCCTTTGCCGTTTATGTGTACATACGTTCATCTGAATCCTGTTGCACTTCTATCGAACTACTGTAACTTTATTTATGTATTTCATCAGCCGCACACACATGCGTATTTACGCACGTATGTATGAGCGCAACATAACGTATTCGACTCGTCGACATCCGTTCCCCCCTCCGCTCCTCACTCTTTCTATTCGTGTTGCGCTGGCAGCCTCTCATTATTGAATTTTAACTCTGTAATTAGATTGCATGCACAGACATATAACGGAGAGCTCAATCAGCAGTGGCAACAACAAAAGAGAACTTTCACATTTGAGTACTGTATTTTGGCATTTCTTACAAGAGTTGTTGTTGCTGTGCAGTTGGCATTTTTTAATGGCAACAACCGAAGCTGTTTATAGGGAAAAGAAGCTAAAAAAAATGCACATAATACTCTTTCTTATTCGATATTTTATTTATTCTCAATAAATATGTATATGAGCGTGCGATTAATTGTAAAAAAAATAAATAAATAAATAAATAAAAAAAGATTCAATCTGTTCAAAAATATAAATGTGTATACACGATATTTCAGATTGGAGTCATTAACTACATAAAAGCAAGTAAAAGTTAAAACAAAATTGTTTTAAGAAATGAATCATTCAACGTTGAGTTCACTTGAGCATATAATTCGATAATTATAATTTAAATGTTTGAGTGAGTCATAGAGAAAGTTTAGCGTGTTTTAAAATAGCTAGAGTAACCACAGTGCACTCTAGAAAAAAAGCCAAACAGACAGCACTGCTGCCACTCACATTCGCACTGTAAATCAACGTTTGGTCTCTCAGTCAGTCGGCATCGCCAGCCTTGAAGCAAACCACCGCAAGCTTTTTTCTTACCATTACCTCTTCCTCTCCTTGTCGTCATCAGCTATTTCGTTGCGTTTGCCCCTTTTTTCTTATGTTCGTTTTAAAATAATGAATGCTATTGTTGTTCTTGTTGTTGTGTTTGTTGTTGTGATATTTTGTGCTCATGACCGACTGACTGCCATGCGAGTCGCTGTTGCTGCTATTGCTGGTGAAACCGGCTCAGCAACAAATGACGCAGCCTCCGTTAGTTGTCTATGTGCGCGTAAGCAGCATTAATGTCAACGTAATTGTTACCATTAATTGCTATTTTATGCGTTCATTGCATTCAAGCGGGCATCAGCTGTTTTTTTTTTTTTTTGCTTTCGCGAACCGCTAAAAATATATCGATATATCGATATAGGGGGATTCTAATATAAGCTTAACATCTGATTTGGCTATTTTAATTATGACTGCTAAATTGTAAGGGCAAATATATTCAAAACAATTAATATGAATATTGGGATTTTTGATTTGCTTATGAGAAACATAAATTTGATGAAATTCAGATTTGGTCGGAATAAATCGCATGCAAAATGTCCTTGAACTCGCCATTGTCGTGATCCAATTTCGAGTTTTCGAAATTTCGAACTTCAAGTGTACAAAAGTGTCAAGTGTGTATGAGAGCGAGATAGAAAGATGTAAAGGAGAGGAAGAAGGAGGCAAACAATTGTATGCCCAATTGCAAAAAAAAAGAAAACAACAGGTCATAAACGGCGGTCAAGAGAACGCAATGATTTTGTATATCTTTCGATTTACATATATAAATTTAAAACAAGGATCTTTTGTTTACTTATCTACACCTACACACACGTACACACATACACAAATATACTAACACACATGCCTTCATTTTGTACATTCAACATTTTCACGTAGTTGCAACAAGTTTAAGAAATAAAAAAATATAAAAATATTTTAACAATGCAGACAAAAAGTTCGATAAACGCTAATCGGTATTTCGTTTATTTTTTTTTATTACTCATTGTTGTTGTTGTTTATTAGGTTTTTTAAGCGCTAATGCAAATAATTTGCTGCTTCACTCGAAAGCAATTAGTAAAGACATACAAACAAAACGAAAGAAAGACAGAAAGAAATATCAAAGAGTAAAAGTCAAAACGAAAATGTTGCGTTCGATTGGCCGCCAGTGGCGCTGTAGTGTTGCGTTTCAGTGCCCTTGCCTTTGTCCTGCCCGCCAGCAGCTGCCGCTGGCGCCATCTAGCGTGGGCCGTGCGATATCAACAAGCGTTGGACAACAATTGAAAGCACAACAACAACAACAATTACAAGAACAGCAACAACAACAACAAATGCATAAGGTTAGCATCTAAGTGCACTATACAAATTAGCTGTGAATTAAGCCGAAAATCATATTTCTATTCATTTTGCATTCCATTGCAGATCGATGAGGAGGTATCACGTCTGCTGGCCCTAAAGGCCAAACTGGGCGGCGATGCGGCACCGGCCAACCAAAAGTTCACGCTAAAAACGCCAAAGGGCACGCGCGACTATGCGCCACAGCAGATGACGCTGCGCCAAGGTGTGCTGGACAAGATTGTGCAGGTGTTTAAGCGTCACGGCGGAGAGGCTATTGACACACCCGTCTTTGAGCTGAAGGTTTGCATTTGATTAATTGATTAATTTGTTCATGATTATGATGTTAAACAATTTGCAACTTGCAGGAAGTATTAACAGGCAAATATGGCGAGGACTCAAAACTGATTTACGATCTGAAAGATCAGGGCGGCGAAATCTTATCAATGCGCTATGACCTGACCGTGCCACTGGCACGCTATCTGGCCATGAACAAGATCTCCAGCATTAAGCGTTATCACATCGCCAAGGTCTATCGCCGTGATAATCCCGCGATGACCCGCGGTCGCTATCGCGAATTCTATCAATGTGATTTCGATATTGCCGGCACCTACGATCCGATGCTGGCGGATGCCGAGTGCGTCAAAATTGTTGCCGAAGTGCTGGATACTTTGGACATTGGTGATTATGTGATCAAGCTGAATCATCGCCAACTACTGGACGGCATGTTCGAAGCGTGCGGTGTGCCGGCGAACAATTTCCGTGCGATCTGCTCGGCTGTGGACAAGCTAGACAAGGTAAAATGCAATATGAATACAAATTCCAGAGACTCAGAGATTAAATATTGATTTCTCGATTTTAGTCACCGTGGGCAGATGTGCGCAAGGAAATGGTGGATGAGAAGGGTCTCGATGGCGCCACAGCCGACAAGATTGGCGAGTATGTGCGCCTGAGCGGCGGCGCTGAGCTCGTTGAGCAGTTGCTGGCGGATGAGAAGCTAAAGGCTGTGCCTAATGCCGTCAAAGGGCTCGAGGGTATGCAGCTCCTGCTGAAATACTGCTCACTTTTCGGACTGGAGGAACGCATCAGCTTTGACTTGAGTTTGGCGCGTGGCCTCGACTACTACACGGGCGTCATCTACGAGGGCGTGCTGAAGGCAGAGCCCAGCGCTCCAGCCTCACCAGTTAAAGAGCTCCATAATGGGGATCAGGCGTTGGAGCAAAGCAGCACTGTTGGCTCGGTGGCAGGTGGCGGACGATATGACAATCTGGTTGGCATGTTCGATCCGCGCGGCAAGGCTGTGCCCTGTGTGGGCGTCTCCATTGGCGTGGAGCGCATCTTCTCAGTGCTCGAAGCCAAATTCGCGGCCAGCAACGTGAAGTTGCGCACCAACGATGTGGAGGTGTATGTGGCTTCTGCCCACAAGGGTCTGCACGAGCAGCGGCTGCGAGTGCTCAACCAGCTGTGGAATGCGGGCATCAAGGTGAGCCAACGATTACAACATTGTCATATTCCAAGCAAACTAATATCGTATGTTGACCAATTCACAGGCGGAGCACTCTTACAAGCTGAATCCGAAGCTATTGGTTCAGTTGCAGCACTGCGAGGAGCATCAAATACCCCTAGCGATTGTCTTGGGCGACGCCGAGCTGGCCCAGGGCATTGTCAAGCTGCGCGAGGTGACGACACGGCAGGAGTCCAATGTGAATCTAGCGGATCTGCCCAACGAGATTCGTCGCCGACTCCAAAAATAGATTAGAAACCATCCTCGCCTCTCTGGCCAACTCACGCAAAGTTTCAATACTACTACAATTACATCGCTATGAATTTTATTTGCTTTATTTATCAATGCATAAACTGTGTGTTTTTTTTTTTTTTTTTTTTTTTTTTTTTTTTTAATTTTTTTTTTTTTTTTTTTTTTTTTTTTTTTAAACATTGTTTTATATTTGCCCTCGTTTGCTGCGCCGTCGAACGGATCCATGTGCTACTATATTATATGAACCTACCATTTAATTGTAGGAATAAGTTATAGCAAATTTATACCAAAACTGGAAACTAAAAATAAACTGCTAACGCATTCGCATTTAATCAAAAGACAAAAATATTTAAAAACAAAGATAAAAAAATATACTAAATGCGATCTGGAGTTAAAAGTTTTGTTTATCTTTGGATAAGGGGGATTTGATTCTAGAACCTAGAAATGGATTAGTAGCTTCGGATTGCCGAAGATTGCATGCACTACAGTCAGACTGCTCTAGTCGGGAGTATCCGACTAGCAGATACCTGCCCTCGTTCACATTCCCTTAAGAGTAACAACAAATTGCATAGTTTGCATGTTCGTTAACGTTTAATGTCACAAATAAGTTCTATATTAACATTTTATTTTTGATTATGTAATTTGCTCGCATGTGATGTGAATTAATATAAATGCAATATATGTACTCAAATATTTCGCGTCTCATAAGTATAGTAAACACATAGTTATTTGTTTAGTAGTTCAGTAAATCTTCGATTGAGAATAGTCACTCGGATATATATAAATGCATCAATATATATAAATGCATCAAATGCATCAATTCTCAGGGAAGTCCTCATTGTCGTCCTTTTTATCTGCATCACTCCCGTCCACACATTCATTATCCGGCTCCTTTGGGGTATTTGCGTCCTCGGGGTTCGTGATTAGCATTGCATTCGTGTTGGTCAGATAGCGGTTCGCCGTTTGTGAGAGTGCGTCCAGAGAGTTTCCCACATGATCCACAAAATTGAGAATGGTGACTAGCCGACGATTGATATTCAACAGCGTCTCGATTTCCCTTTCATATTGTCTGATTTCCTCATCAATGTCCGTGGTATTGTCCATTTCTCCTTATATACAATTTATAAATTCGATATTAAATTTTTTAAACAATTTTGAACAGTAAAAAGAATTTGTTGTTGCCAGAGTAAAATCAGGCTTATAAATGTTTCCTAGTCAAGCAAAAGTCATGCGATGAAACTTTTAATTCCTATGCGTCAACATGAAGTTTAAGGAACAGAGCTACTATTTTTTTTTTTTTTTTTTTTTTTTTTTTTTTTTTTTTTTTTTTTTTATATTTTTATATTATTTCTTTCAGCCTTTGAGGATCTCCATTACTTGGAATGTAGTCAATTGATAGAGTTGAGTAAGATTACTTTAGTCCTCTTCTTTTTCTCTCTTACTCGCTATACTTATCTCTCTCTACATATGTACATATATGCATATTGTTTTACCTTCACTCTCTCTCCCCCTCTCTCTCTCAGTATACGTATATGTATATCTCCATATCTGTCTGCCTATCTTAATTTATCTCTTTCGCTTCGTTTAACTAACTCTCCTCTCGCCATCTCTTGCATTCTCTCTCTACCTTTGCTGCTGTTCTCCATCTCATTTTACATGCTCTCTCTCTTCAAACGCCATCTATATATTATTTTACTCTCTATTTCTCTCCGTCTCATTTTTATTATCTCTTTCTCTTTGTCCTTATCTCCATCAACATCTTTTTACTTTCTTTTTCCCTTAATCTCTCCATATCCAATTCACTTTTATACTCTCTCTCTATCTCTCTCTCTCTCTCTCTCTCTCTTTCCCTCTCCATCTAATTTTTATACTCTCTCGCCATCTTATTTGAATACCCTCTCTCAGTATCCATCTAAATTATTATACTTTTCCTCTCTCTCTCTGTCTCTCTCTCTCTCTCTCTCTCTCTCTCTCTCTCTCTCTCTCTCTCTCTCTCTCTATCTCTCTCTCCCCCCTGTTCCCTCTCTTCATCGTCAGTCATTGCCAAATAAACTCTCAATCGACTTACCACCCCTTCTGCCCACTCGCGGCGCCTGATCCAAGCTCCTTTCTATGCACTTTTCAGCCTGTTAGACTAACTGTAAAGGTGTTTAGAACAACATTTGCCTGTTTACACATACATACATATTAACACGCGATCATATTTGTGTTCTTTGCAGAGCTTGCCCCACAGCGTTGACCAGTTAAAGGCAACGCTTCAGCAGCAGGAACAACGACAGCCACAACAAGAACAACAGCGAGAGAGTCTCAGAGGGCCAGAGGATGCCGGAAACTCTGCCAGCAACCGCAACGGTGACCGCCAGCAGCATCGATTGCACAGTTGCGGTGCTTAAGGTGCCAACGCCCACGATGCAAATGCCGCAGGCGTGCAATCTACAGAGCCTCGGCATCATAATGGAGCCGAACAATATCAACATTGAGCTGAATCCTGCGGCAACAACGTCCAGCCTAAAGGTGAGTGCCTAAGCCATTGAATGATTGAGTTAAGAGCATGGGAGTTTCGAAAGAGTTTCAATATGATTGTATTGATATGCTTATATAACAGAGTCTATATCTATATAGTTTTAAGAGTTGAATAGCTAATGGAGGTTACTTAAAAAAAAAAAAAAAAGTTTCTTCCAATACACGAATCAGTTCAAAGAAGATGCTCAAGCATAATCAAACCCTAAACTGAGATACTTAACAGAGGGAGTCCTTTTTTTTGGATAATCATTATGTCATACAAAATGTGGTACTACTTATGAATCATAAAAGTGTATAAAATCGGATGGGGATTACTTTGAGTCTTCATTATACTTGTGGCTTTAATGTCATTGGTTTCGATTGAAGATTCGAGCACATCAAGATACAGCTCTCTTATGTAATAAAGATATAAAAATATATCATATAAAATATTTCGTCTTTCCACATTTGGATTTGGGAATTTGAAGATTTCATATAACATATTTGCTTACTACACGACACCACACTTCCATTTGCAATATCTATCACAATACTTGATATACGATATAACGAGCTTTATAAAAATATTGGAAAATTTCTGCTTTACATATGGATCTTCTATAAGATGCCAGATCTAACAATTGTAGCTATCCATGCAACATGTATACAGCTAGAATTATTACAGTACCATATGATTTAACCAGAGCCAGGAATAGTCAGTTTTATTAAACACTTAAAAAATATTCAATCAGTTAATGCAGATTAGGAATTGAGGGCGCACTGAAACTACGGGCTAATTCCACGGCTCGCATTCTTAACCTATAGATAGGTGGAGCGGATTCGACTAGCCAGCATACTAAATGGTATATGTGATCGATCAATGTGGCGAATGGCTCATCAATGGATGGTCCAAAGAACGTGGGTGTCAGCGGTGCCTTACCGTACAGCTCGTGCGAACTGTAACGGCCAAAGGCATCCATCACAAAATTTGGTAGCATACGTATAAATTTCTGAACATATATCGACGTTCTGAACTTAGGCGGTAACTGATCATCGCAGCGCACAACAAATCTTATGCAGTCACTCGAATCAGATGATATATCCGAATCTGTATCCGAAGATGAACTCGACGTGCTCTCGCTTTCGGAACTAAAAAGATCCTCCAGCTTCGTCGGGCGTGGCGGCATAATGAAGACACAACCATCTTGTGCGGTAGCCTCCGATCGACTTTCACTAGCAGAGCTCCGAGTTGAATCAGGCTGCGATTGTGCGGAGATCCCCACATTCGACTCGCTGGTATCACTGAGTGGACGTCCTGTCCGGCTCTCGGATAATGTTCTAGACTCGATGCGCACCGAAAAATGATTGAATATACTGGCATCGAAACATATCTTGCGCGCCGTATTCGCGATTACGGTACTACTGACGGTATCGTTCTGATTTTCGGATATGAACATCAGATAGATTTCGCCCCTTGGTAGTGTTGGTTCGCTCTCTGGTTCTAGCTCAGCGTTCTGCTGGCAGCGCCTCTCCAGCTCGTCGATGATGAAATCATTAAAATGTTTACCCATAATTCTCAATTTTGGTACAAACTAAAAGCAACAATAAATTAAGAAAAATTGTATAATTGTAAAAAAAAAATAATAATAATAACAAAAAAAAACAAAATAAACTGAAAAATTTCAAGCGTGCGAACGGTGCCAGAAAAAATGAATAACTGAGTTCAGCTCAGAAAACTTTTGGCATTTACAATGCTTACCTTTCGGCCTACTTTGTCTCGTTATATGTATGTATGTGTATATATTTGGAATAGTTATATATTTTTGGTATATTACACATATATATTATATATTTGTCTGTCAAAACTTAAAAAAATTAATGAATCGGTCTGAAATTTTGGAATCTGATTCATTTGATATGATAAATTGAAAAAAAAATTGATATGATATAAATGGGAAAATTAAAAGGTTAAGGAGCTATGTATCCACTTTTGCTTTTATTAAACCTTTTTGTAAATATTTGCTATATTTAATATTTTGTCCAAAGACATTTAGCTTTAGTCACACTAGCAATGCGCTTAGGCATACTTTCCATCAATTATTGAATATGGGCTCATCCATTCCAGTCGGTAGTGTATCCTACTTTGAGAGCCCTTTTTTAGACAAAGACCAAAAATTGTTGATTTTCGAGTCAGTTCTTGACGGTTTTCGCTTTGTGCTTGGGTCTATTGTCCTGCTGAAACAGGACTTTTTCCAATCTTCTAATCGTGTAATCCAATCTAAATATTCAGATAGTTTTCCTTTTTCATAATTTCATCGATCTTGACCAACCGTGATACATATGTATGTAGATGTCTTGTTCAAATAAATATATGTATATACATACATATATACATCCAATATATATGTACATACATATGTACATATATGCTCCATAAATATATCATATGCATACATACATTTAGCTATCATATTTATGTATATTTACAAATGTGACTAAAAGCTTAAATTCCCTTGACATACAGATGGCTATATACGTATGCATGTACATACATAAATACTGTTTTATAATCCATTATGTCTATCGCTTCTTCTTCATTTGCTTTTTTGCATTTTTTTTCTTCTGCTGCTTCTATTATTATTTTAGAGTCCTGCTAATGGATCTCTCCCTGTTGGCAGTTACTCATTTCTGTGCGTTACGTAATTAAATTACGCACACGAAAATGTCAAACGTTTGCGCGGCTGCCGCTCGCATCGTTTTTACACTCGAGTTGAGTCCGGCCCTTGCGACAGAGCTCTGGCTACTGCTACGGATGCTGTTGCTGCTGCTGCTGCTGCTGCTGCTGCTGCTGTTCCTGCTGCTACTGCTGTGGTCGCCGCATTTTTCATGCTTCAGTGCGTGCAATTTGGTTTCGGGAGTGGGGTGGGTTGGGGAGGGGAGGGGATGCTGGCAAAGACAAGGGCCGGCCGCATGAAAAGGGGGAAACCGTATGCCGTCTCATTCAAATGACCTAACCCAGGATGCGTTGCTGATTTTGACAGGCAGCGGGCTGAACGATGAACGGTGGCATCGTCGACGTCAACGTCGCTGTCACTGTCGCTGTCGGCGTTACCAAGTCGCAGCTAATACTGTTTTAATATTAATTTCATTTCTATATTGTTTTGTTTCGTTGCGTTTCTTTCGCGACTTCCCAACTTTTTTTGTTCTCTAGTTTTTTTACGTTCCATTTCCCATTGTTGCTATTGCTGTTGTTGTTGCTGTAGTTCTTGTGTCATCCTGCGCTGCGCTGTCTTCGTTCGCTTTGTCATTGACATGTCACTGCAGGCAGAGCGGCACAGTGGTTCAATAATAATTGTTAGCAAATGAAATTCATTTAAACGGGAGAAACGGGAGAGTTGACAGAGAATGTAAGAAAAATAAATATAAATTATATTGCTATTATGTATGTGTAAATTAATCAAATAAGATAAGATAATTAAAATCATTTATAGATTATAGATATTATGCGCATACATATATTTTTATTTATCCTCTTTTTTTATTTATTACTTTATTTCTTATATATTTTCGTAATTATTATTATTTGTATACTTTACTACTATTATTATATTTACCTATATATATTTATTGAATATAATTTTTACTTTATATTCTTTTGTAATTTTATTTTTAATTTTCTTTGATAATTTAACATTTATATTTTCATCAAATTATCTTCAGCTTGTGCACACTGTGCACACTGCTGTTTGCTTTGGTGGTAGAATCGGCCTCAAAGCTGACGCAGTTTAAATCTCAATGCATGTGTGTGTGTGAGTGTGCGTGTGTGTGTTAGTGTGTGCAGTGATTTGTTGTAGGGCTGCAGGGTGCACTTCAACTGCCGCGGCTCGTTTGTCAGCACCAGCTAGACGCTGCTCTAGGGGGAGGACGGATTCAGGGCAGTCAAGCAGCCCAGGCAACGTCGTTCGAGCCGATATCATTCAATGCTTCTAATTTACGGATTAATGAAGGCGCAATTTTACATATTGAAATTTTTGGTTGCTCGACGCGATCGTGGGAAGCGATTAGTGGCCGTGGCCAAATCAAAGCGGAGGCGACACTGCAATTGTTGCCCCTTGTGCGGCCCTTCGTTGGCATTGATGGATTGCCTCATAAATTTGTGATTTGCTAAGCTTGATTTTCCATTTCACAAACTTAATTTGTATGAATATTTATATGCATATATTGCATGTTTGGATGTGGTATATAGAGTAACATATGTATGTATGTATGTATGTATAAATGTATGCCATATGTCAGCTGGGGAGGATTGAGCGCCGTGTGAAAGTAATGGGTACATTGTCCTAGGTCGTTCCAACATTAAAACATTTGCATAAGTTGAAGAGTTTAAAAAATGCTGAGGCATATTGTACATATGTACATATGCATGTATATATGTACGTACATACATATGTAATAAATATAAAATACTAGCTTAGTATATACTCTATGTTTAAAAATACAGACAAGTATAACAAATATAATTTATTTAAAATTCAAAAATAAGGGAAGCAAAATACTTAATTTAATTAACATTTTATAAGCCAGCTTCCACAACTCTTTCAATGTCAGCCGCTCAATCGGGGCTTTGTCCTGCTTAATTCAGCTTTAGATCTCTTATCTTCCAGGCAGCTTTTTAGCGCTTCGCTTCCAATTCCAATTTTCCAATTCACAGCTCGACGCCTTCAATGAAAACGAAAAAAGATGCGAAAGATGAGGCGAAAAGAATATAAATAAACGGAAGTCAGTTGCTTAGTGCAAACACTAATAATATTAATAACGATAATCGTGATGAAAATGAATCTGCCAATCCGATTTCAGGTCATAAATACGTAACATAACGTCAGGCCCATTGATTGCTATCTGCCGCATAGTCATAAGTGCAACAGAGACAACAAACGCACAGTGAATCGACGGTAGTGTGTGTGTGTGTGTGCGTGCATTCCAGTGGCGGGCCACGCGTCGCCAGTTGCTTATCTCGGGTGACCAGCACGCCACGTGCAATTGCCAATTCCAATCCCATTCATGAACCATAGTTTTTGGCACGTATGTGAGCGTGTGTCTGTGTGTGTGTGTGTCAGGCAGCGGGTAACGGGTAAACGGGTGAGGGTACCAACAAATTTGCGTGCAATCGTTAGGCTTGCGTTTTTAATGACTTTTTCGTTTCAGTTCTGTTGGCATTGCATTTAATTCGATTATGATCCCTTCTCCTTCTCCCTGCCCATTCCCGTTCGCCCGTTCCAGCCAGCTCTGCAGCTGGGGTAGCTGCAAAGTAATTGAAACGAAGCCGTAAGTGGAGCGCTGTGTGCATTTCCCAGGCGAACGCAAGTATGTATGTATGTGTGTGCGTCCAAGTACAACTAATGTGGGTGTTAACGGTGTGTTAAGTGATTTTGCCATTTGTAAAATCGAACAATTGCAAAAGCCGCTGCGATAACTATCACATTCGCTGTTGCTGCCGCTGTCGATGTCGATGTCTGCGCACGTTTTGCCCATATTTCAAATGCTCAAAGTTAAAACTTTTGATATCCGTTTTAAAATTGTTTCACTGCGCGCGTGTGCGTGTGCGTGCGTGAGCATTTGAAAAGTATCGACTTACGTTTTCTTTTACGTCGTTTTTTAGCTGCTGCTGCTGCTTCTGCTCCTACGCTGCCCAATCGCTTGCCTGTGAACAGCTGGCAACGCTAAATGGGAATTAATATTTAAAAATAACTGTGTTATGTATTCAAAGAGCAACGGCTCTTATATCTTAATTTAAGAGTGCAAGTATATATGTCTGTATGTATGTATGTATGTATGTTAGCCATTTATTATGTGCTTTATCCCCTGTCAGTTGGTCCATGGCCGGTTTTTGGCTAATGAAAACTAAAAACTTCAATTACCAAAAGCAAAATAATGCGTTTTTAAACCCAAAAATGTAAGAACTGTAACTGTAGCAAGAAATTGTGATAGATGAGGGTATATGGGAATGCTTTTTACGGACCACTTGTTTGTCCCAGGGCTGCTTATAAACAAAGAGTTAACCGAAAAGGACAACGCTCCAAAGAAAATGCCCATAAATCAGTGTAAGCAACACACACACACACACGCAAATAGTAAAGTAATGCAAAGCTAAAGTAAGAGAATGAAAGGGTTTCGATTGTTGTGTTGGACTTTCCATGAAATTTCCCAATGGGGTGATTATTTAAAATTGTGCAGCACATAAATAGCATACCAAGCGAAGGCAGCGGGGCAGCATCTGTATAATAAAAACATTTATATGTGTGTAGTGCGTGTGTATATTTCTGATCTAATTGTTGCCAAACTTTTTTTATAATCAAAGTTTTTGTGTAAACACAAACCAAACTGCGCGCGCTCCGCTTATGCGATATTTGCAAACGATATTCAGCTGCTATCGATAAGCGATCGCTTACGCATATTGCGAAATCAAGGCAACTTAAGAGGTTCATCGATAGTAATTAGCACAGCTGTTGCGCATATCTAGGGAAGAAATGCGCGGCAGCATTGAACATCTAATTAGATTTATTTTGCCAAAAACAATTGTTACTTCTAATGATGGCCACCGATGTACAAAACGCAGATTCTAAGGATACGCTGACTCAGCTGCTCGAAATGGGCTACGCAGAGATCGAGGCACGACAAGCGCTGGCGCAGGCCTCCAATAATCTGGAGCTGGCCATACAATATCTGGTCGGCGAATACGATGCCGAGCAGACCGATGAGGCGCAGCAGCGACGCACACGACGCCACTGCAAGGAGCTGCGCAGCTGCCTCATGGGCAATCCAGCCATAACTGATTACGCCGTGGCAGCGCTAATGAAGAAGCCGCGCACTGCCGAAGCATTGCGTGAGCTGGTCGGCGCTCACAGCTCCATGTTTTTGGGATCGCTGTTGGAGTCATCCTCCGACGAGGAGCAGCCGAATGAGGAGCGCAAGCAGCGAAAACAGTAGATTAAATGAGTTAAGAGGAGTGAAGAGAAGTGGTCGAATCAGCTGTTAAAACTAGATATTAAAGCGAATTAAACGCAAGCTAAAAAAAAAAACTGTTGTTATTGTTGTTTTCCTTTGCCTTTGCCTCGGCTTTGGTTTTGGTTTTGTTTTTGTTGTGGCGCCGGTCAAGCCACCCTTTGTGCGTGTTTTATTTCTTCTTTTTCAATTTTTGTTGTTTTTTTCTTGCGGTGTTTTGTATTTTGAGCTCTGTCGAGCGCGTCAACCCTTTTAGCTTGATGATTAATGATCGCATTTTTTTTGCTTCATTTTATTTTGCTTGCTGCTGTTTTCTACTGATTTCAATTTAGCGCTTCGCATTAGAAATTCTACCCCCTAACCAGAGATGGCTTACTTGGCTATTTTATGGGGCGAACATATAGGATATTTTGCATACTAAACATACTTTTATTAACAGCTAATAGTTAAAAGTTAATGATTTATAATATTTAGATGTAAAATTCAATTGCATTAGCCCCCCGTTCCTTGCCTATGTAAGAGTATTCGAGAGTCGACTTTAGCGTGTTTTGTGCTAAAATTCTCTAGCTACTGTTGAAAAATCCTAATTAATTTTGACTTGCAACCGTTTGCATTGTCAACCGCAGCCACGTAGCCGGCGCTGGTGTCGCCGGCGTCGCTGCCGTTGTCAACGCTTATCGGCCATTTGATCGGCGTTGCGGCGTACCGCAAAATGTGACGGCGGCAAAGAGAGGCAGAGAGAGAGAGAGAGAGAGAGAGAGCGAGAGAGTAAGAGAGCGACAACCCTTGACGCGCGTAGGCGGCGCCCTATCATTTATCACGGGTTGCAAATGCTTCAAAGTGGCTGTAACTGAGCCCCCCACAGCGGTGGCAATTTTAAAGTGCACTCACACTCTCAGTCGCAGTCGCCGTCGCAGTCACAGTTGCAGTCGCAGTCGCAGTCACGCAGTCGCTCAGTCACAGCTAATAAATAATGTATTGAAATTGGATATCGCCTTCGTTTGACGCACAATGCACCGCAATTAGACGAGTTGAAAGTGAACGTGCGCGCGCGCTCTCTATACCATTCTCTTGCTCGCCCTCTCTCTTCCAGTGGGTCCCATGCACGTAACTTGCTGAATTGGTCCTGAGCTTCTTCTGCTTCTTCTTGCTGTTATTTTTTTTTGGCAGACCTTGTCAACGATCGTTCGTCCCTTTTGTGCGCTCGTTTACATGTACTTAACAAAGGCAATCAATATGTTGACAACAAATTGCAATAATAATCAAAAGTATGATGAAAAGAAATACAAAGGGAGGTACGCAGCTAATTGCGGTGCAGTTGCATACAGTGGCTTACAGCTTATTTCTACCAGCTGCAAGAACAATTCAGGCGTCTTTAAGATGTTAAGTAAAATGAAAGGGAGATTGTTTTATTTATAAAAGTATTTGTGCAGCTATTTACCATAATCACAGCTAAAAAAGTGTAGTAAGTGTAGCTCATTTATTTGTTTCAATATTTATATACACTTTCATATATTAAAAGGTTTTACATTTTTATTATTTTTATTTTATTATTATTATTATTATTATTATTATTATTATTATTATTATTATTATTATTATTAATATTATTATTATTATTATTATTATTATTATTATTTGTTATAAAAATCAATAAAATCATACATATATTTGGAGTTAGTTGGAGTTGGGTTAGGTTCACTAATTTTGGGGGCTTTGTTATCTCTTTTATAGATGCTGGCTGTGATTAGCTGTGAGCCACTGTACATGCATTCATACATATGCATGTACGATAAGTATAATTGTAGTGCAATTTTGTATGTACACAACTTTCACACATACACTCACACATACATAAGTATGTACATATGTATATGTATGAATGCAAATTAATTGGCAAACTGGGAGAAGAAACAGCTGAAGAAGTTGCAACCGGCTGTGTCTTTACTTTTTACATTTAAAAAAAACTCTCTGTCAGCCATTTTGAGTAATTTCGAATGGAAAGAAAAAGGAACTGAAATGAATGGGCTGATGACTACTACAACTACATATGTATGTATGTATATTGACAGTTAGAAATTTTCGATTACTGTTAAGATTTGGAATTCTGCTCTGGCCGCAAGCGAATTCAACTAGTTCCGGCTGACAGATCGAATCTTGGCCACGGCATTTGCCGTCAAACACAAAAATCCCATCGAAATATTCAAGTGGTAAATTTGCATATTTGTGTATGTAAAGCGTTTCGGTTTCGATTTTTATTTGCACAAGCGCTTAATTGTGTAAAAGGGAAGGCGAACGAAGGCAAGGCACGGCACGGCACGGCACGGCACGGCTCAGCTCTGGCCAGGCCAGCAGCTGCCGAGCGCTGCCAATTAATAGATGAAAATGGATTTGTGTAAGAAATATGCGTTACCCATTTGCATGCGCAGCAGCAGCAGCAACAGCAACAACAACAACAACAATGCATGCCACTGACAAGCCCCGACCAGAGACAATTAGGCAATTATTTGCGCAAAGGATCAAAACCAAAACAAAAAGCAAAGCCAGCGTCTGTCTGTCTGCGACCTCTCGCTCGCACACACACGCATAGTCTCACTCAGTCACTTACACACATACACACACACACACGCACACAGTTGGGCTCGCTCTGGGAACGCGCACAGTGTGGCCAAATGTTCAGCAGCTTGGGCTTTCCTTCGTCTCGTCTCTTTGGTTTGCGTTTGCTTTTAATTGAACATGAGCAATTAGCGTGCAATTTGTTTCGCTCGCAAAAATGCTAACGGTAATCGCAGCCCCCGCAGCCTCGCCATGCCCGCCTCCCCCGCCACTTGTGTGTTCCACGTGTGCCACGTGTTTTCGGGCCGCCCAAAACGCACTTGAGTAGAATTAATTTTAAATGCTACGCTGCACGCGGCTAAGTGATTATGCCAAGCCAGAGAGGAACCATACTCATGCCTCATTCCCATACCCATTTTCCATTTCCATTTCCATTTGTTCCCATTCCCATTGGCAGCACTCGCTCGCTCACTTGCTCGCATGTTTAATTATAATTAAAAAGCCTTGGCTCATCTTCGGCCCTCTCGCTCTGGCCGATGGGCAAGGCGGTAGCGCCATTTCGCTCGCACATGCTTTAAGCATGCATTCGCTTACTTCCATAAACATTAAAATGGTTAATTGAGTGCTTAGTGGCCGGGCCACGACTTCCAGCAGCCGCAGCCGCAGCCGCAGGATCTTGAACTCATCTATCTGCCTTGGCCATTGTCAAAGCGCGCCATGCACTCCATAATATTAATTATTTTAATTGAAATGTTCATTATTTTACATCTAATTTAGCGCTGCTTGCGTGTGCGATTCCCCCGAACCCTGACCCCGAGCCCCTAACCCCGAACCCCGAACCCAGCCCAAAAACAACTCAACTCCAGCTCCATGCTCGGACAGGACGAATCCTGTGCACAATGCTCACATGCTTTTAAGCTTTCACTCTGAGGCCGCCTGTGCACAGTGGGCTACGGCTGATTTGTTTGGCAAATGGACTTAATTATTTATTTATTAATTTTCATTAAAAATTGTTTTTTGTTGTTGTGATTTTAGACTATTTGATAGCTAAGCAAAATAATATTTATCTACAGGAAATAATTTTTTATTTATATATTATAATTTAACGTTATTATTATTATTTTAAATAATTCTTATTAATAATATTTTAAAAGTAAATTTGAATTTAAAAAGTAACAACATTTTTGTTAAATGTACATTATATGTGTATATATTTTTATATATATTTTTTAGTTGAAAAAAATTTATTAAAATAATTTTAATTCTTTTAATAATCCATAATTAATTATACTAAATAAAGTCTTATTAATTTTATATTTTAGCTTCAAATGATGATCAGCAATAAAACTTTAATTTGAATTTAATTTTAAATGATTAAAACTGTAATTAAAAAATATTTATAATTATGTGTAATTAATTATATTAAATAAAGTTTTATTAATTTTGATCAGCAATAAAACTTTAATTTGAATTTAATTTTAAATGATTAAAACTGTAATTAAAAAATATTTATAATTATGTGTGAGTTTTTATATAATTTGAAAAATAATTGAAATTTGTATATAAATTTATTATAATAATCAAATTGTTAATTTTATAATCATTAATTTCAAGTATTTATTTTATATAATAAAATGATAAAAATAAAAAAATTATTATCAAATCAATTCAACATCAAAGTTGTTTAGATTGGTCTTTGATGCCACTGTGCGCACTGGTTGTTGCTTATTTTCAATTTTTTTTTATATTTTAATTTTATTTTTGTTTTTTTATTTGGGGTTGCTGCATTTGGCGCGGGGTTTATTATAAATTTTTAATTGGCTTTTTATGTATGAATAATGCTGCTCTTTGCCAGCAGTCGTCCTGTCTAAAGGGATGCATTCCAGGGGGTTGTATCTATGTGTGTATATCTCTGTGTGTGTGTGCGTGTATGTCTCTCTCTCTCTCTATTTGTGTGTGTGTGTGTGTGTGTGTGTGGCTTGGGTGCGTGTGCTATGCTTCTTATCCTAAGTAGTTTGAGCCTATTATTTATGCAGCCAATTCATTATGTGGTTGTCCATGGGCCACGTTTTTCATATTTCTATTCTCTATTCTCTCTGCTTCTGCAACAAATTTGTTATGGACTGCGTAAAAAAGGGGTTAGCGAGCAGGCAGCGGGCTGCATTCCTGGTTAGGTAGGGCTACTATTATCTGTGGATGTCAAGTTGCTTGGTTAACCGGCAGAAAAAAAAAATAGAAACGGAGGAAAATCAAATCAAATCAAATCAGAGCGAGGTGCAAAATAATAAATGGCTAAATGCCAGCAACAACAACAACAAGCATAAGAAGTTTTGAAACAACCCCCCGTCAAATATAAAAAATTACATTTTTGTCAACTCATTAGAAACGTGACGATGAAAGCAGCGCAAGGTCCTGCTGCTGGTCCATTTAGTGCTTTGAAAAGGGTTTGTCATTTAATTAAAAAAAAAAAAGGAACAAAAAAAAAAAATCATGGCAAAAAAATACCAAGAAGGTAAACAGGTAGGTTGGCCACTTTACATAAGCAGCTGGCTGGCTCCACCTACAGCGGTCAGTTTGACAGCTGTGTAACAGTGCGCGCCTACGCACAGGTGTACATTAACAGAGCTCTGTTAAGGCTCTGTCGCGGTGCTACCCTCGTTGGCCGGCACCTGCGATAGGCGGCTGGCTGGCAAAAGCCAACCGCTTGGTGTCCAATGGCAGCACAGCCCCAAAAGCAACAACGCTCAAATCAAACACACACACAACAACAAAAAAAAAGGAAGCGTTACATAAAACAAAAACAAGAAACCCCCAACCACAAAGTATCTGGAGCAGCGGCAAATATGCGCAAGAGCCAAAACAACCCTCGCAGCAACAGCAGTAGCAGTAGCAGCAGCAGCAGCAGCAGCAAAGGCAGCGACAGCACCAAATGCCGGTCTCAGCTAGCGAGCAGCAATAGCAGCTGATAAGCCAGCGAGAGCGAGAGAGCGCCAGAGCGCAACCACCTAACGACGACAACAGCAGCAGCGCAGCAACGCCAGCAGCAAAGCCAGCAACAGCAACAGCAACATCAGCAACAACAACAGCGCACGTTTTTGCCGCTTTTCGGTTTTCATTCATGCAGCCTCGTCGTCGCATTCGTCAAGTGAACTTCGGCGCTGGCGGTCGTGTGTGCGCGCAGTAGTAGCAGCAGTAATAAACAGCAACTGAAATTACGTTACGCGAAATTTCAAATTTGTCGAGTGCGAAGCGCATTGTTTATTATTTAGAGGAAAACAAAACAAAAATAATCATAAATATAACAACAAAAAATTATTTCTTTATTTTTTTTTTTTCGAAAACAAGATATTTATGCAAGTGCCGACATATGTATTAATATATACATATCTATCTCTGTGTGTGTAAGTGTGCGTGCAACAATATTTAACAACAACAACAACAACAACAGCAACAACCAGAGAAGCAACAGTCAAGTGTGTGTGTTTGTTTACGCCTTCGATCCGCCTCCCCACCAGCCGTTATTTCACTCACTCTCTCTCTTACACTCTATGTGTGTGTGTGTGTGCGTGTGTGTGTGGCGCAATTATTTGAAATATGCAAATTTACGAGCTAACTAATTGAGTCGAGTTGAGTTCAGTTCGCGGTTCGCGTGTGTTTTGTGTTGTTGCAGGTGTCGGGCATTCTCTCGATCTCGCTCACGCACACTCACTCTCTCTCTCTATCTCTCTGTCTTGCTGGTCGATCTTGGCTCGTTAGAGGCGTCTTCTTATTGCCATCTGTACTAATTCAATCAACGGTAAATCACGCGCTAACAGCTCTCACCCACTCTCTGACACTGTCTCGCGCTCGCTCTCACGTACGCGCTGCCTGTGCAACTCTCCTTATCGCACGTGTGCAAGCAGCAGCAGAGGCAGAAGCAGCAACAGCGGCAGCAGCACCAGCAGCAACAGCAGCAGCAGCAGTTTTCATGCGTTTAGTACGACTATAAAAATTCGCACTCAATTAGCAGTAGCAGTAGCAGCAGCAACAATTCATAACATAAACAAAACACAAGAAACGAAAACAATAACAATAATAACTACAATAACAACAACAAGAAACGCTAGCAAATTCCTGTGTGCAAATTGTACAACAAACCGCGCTAAATAAATATAAGAATTATAAAAAAAAGAGAAAAAAAAACAAGCCTTACCACAAAACCAGAACCAAGCACAAGGAGAATCAAGAGCAACAACAACAACAACAGCCGCACTAAATACAAGAAAGAAGGCGAAAAAGGCCGATTGCCAGCAATAAAGAGAAAATATCCCCCTTCAGGCAGAGCTCGACGATCGCTCGCAGCAAGAAAAGCAACAATTTTCTGCATATGTAAGTCGAAACTTTTGTGCTGCGATCCTTTTAATTAGTTTACTTTTAGTTTCTGCTGCTGTTGTTTATTTTTGCCATTTGTTTTAATTAACGTCGCCGTCGTCGTCAGCGGCTGCATTTGGCAGGCCAGAAGAAAACGAGCGGCGCGGCCCAAGAACAACAAAACGCAAATCTTTTCTGTTAATTGCTTCAGTTTCAAGTTTCGTTGCGTTTACGCCGAAAAAACAACAACAATAACAGCACAGACATAACAGAGAAAGCCTCTGTGTGTTGTGTGTGTGTGTGAGTGCTTTATGAGTTACATAAAATCGATCACAACTTGCACAAAAAAAAAAAAAGAGAAAAGAATCTAACAAACAAACAAACTAGAAACTATTGACGAATTCCAATTGGGAATGTAAAGAATTTCGCGTATGTGGAAGTTAAAAGCTTTCTTAGAGGTCATTTTCAATTAGCAGGGGCATTCTTATAGGATTCCGCACTGTTATTTCTGTTTGTGCAAAAACTTAAATTGTTCAGCATAGATTTAAATGTGTTAAAATTTGCAAAATAGCAAAATTATGGGTAATGGCTAATAAAATAGAAAGAGCAGAGCAATTTCTGGTTAGAGGCAGTTAAAAGCAATTCATTCCGGATTACGGCTAGATTATATCAAATTATAAATAATATTGAAAGCTTCAGTGATTGCTTGAATCAACTGATAAAAATCGTATGACTCGCCTTCATTTGAGTACTTACTGGCTCAGGTTCGCAAAAACATTTCTTTTATTTATATAAAGCTTAGATTTCCAGCATTATATCCATATGGTTTTCTTGGAATAAACATGCGATCTACTTTCATTCCAGCACTCAGCAAGAATTTCAGTAATGCCATTTGAAACCCTGCAAATAACTGCAATAGCATGTTCTTCAGTTTTTTCATTAGAAGTGAAGAAATTTTGCAATTTTTTTTTTATTTTTTTTGCTACTCAATCCAATCAATTTTTTTTTTTTTTTTTTTTTTTTTTTTTTTTGTTTTTTAAACCCATAAATTTTTTTTTTTTTTTTTTTTTTTTTTTTTTTTTTTGCACTGCTCGCAGTAAAGATAAGAAAAGATGTTTTATGTTTTTTCAATAGTAAAATAACATAAATCGTTATCTGTATCAATAAATAAACCTTAAAAGTTGTAAATCTCCCAATTGTAGCGCTCGCCCCAATACCATATAAATTTCCACTCTAATTAGAATTTCTTAATAATGCGAGCTTTGTTCCTCGCAAATATTCCTATTGGCAGTTATCTCACCAATTCCAGTGAAGCTGCTACTCTAATTAGAATTTCCCAATAAGTTTAACTTTATTTTGTTTACATTTCATTTGCATTTCAGCTACTCTTGTTGATCAGCTGAGCAGCTCTCAATTGCATTGCTTTACATTGCACACTCTAGCTCTCTCTCATTCTGCTCAAACTCTCTTTTCGTGTCACTTGGCAATATTTGTGCTGTACTTTAGCAGACGCGCAGTCTGTTAATTAGTTACCCTTTTTCATGCTGTGCATCAGTGGGTGTGTGTGTGTGTGTGTTTGTGTTTGTGTGCGTCTGTTGTCAACCCCAACGATCTTAGTTATCATCTAATTGC